TTTATTTTATTTTATTTTATTAATGCACAATGTGGGGCTTGAACTCAAAAACTTGAGATCAAGAGTCTCATACTGTACCAACTGAGCCAATCAGAGGTCCTTGATAACATCTAATTTTAAATGTACTTAAAAGGTTAGACTCTTCAACATATACTTAGATTTCTTGATTATTTTCACAAGACAGTGAAGCTTAACACAGTTGACCCTTAAACAACTGTAGGCTATTTGTAGTTAAGTTTTGGGAGAGCAAAAAGTTATACATGGATTTTCAACTGTATGGGTATTAGGCACCCTTACCCCCCATGTTTTTAAAGGTCAACTGTATTTTTTTTTAAGATTTATTTATTTGAGAGAGAGAGAGAGAGAGCGTGTGGAACACATGGTGGGGAGGGGCAGAGGAAGAGAGCCTTAAGCAGACCCTTTGCTGAGCCTGGCACCCCAGGCAGGGCTTGATCCCATGACCCTGAGACCACAGCCCTACGATCTCGACCGGAGCCAAAACCAAGAGTCAGACACTTAACTGAGCCACCCAGGCACCCCTGCCACAGAATAGTTTTAAAACACAGCTGACCCTTCGGGCACCTGGGTGGTGTAGTGGGGTAAGTATCTAACTCTTGATTTTGTCTCAGGGTTGGGATATTAAGCCGTACTTCAGGCTTTAGGGTCTGGGCTCAGTGCAGAGTTTGCTAGTCCCTCTCCCTCTGCTTCTCCCCCAGGCTCTTACACTCTGTCTTTCTTGCTCTCTCAAATAAATAATCCTTTTTTTTTTTTTTCCAGATTTTATTTATTTTTCAGACAGAGAGAGAGAGAGAACAAGCAGGGGGAGGGGCAGGCAGAGGCGGAGGGAGAAGCAGGCTCCCTGCTGAGCAAGAAGCCCATGTAGGACTCAATCCCAGGACCCTGGGATCATGACCTGAAGGCAGATGCTTAACCCACTGAGCCACCCAGGCCACCCCATGTTTTCAAAAATAGATATAATTTTAAGAACTGTAGTATTGGGTTCTAAACAAAGAATCTTACGGAAATCTTAAGCAAAAGTTAACTTTGGGACTTTGGGATACAAAGTTTAACCCTTAGGATTTTTTTGACATGTCACAAACCTTAAGCCATGTGAAAACAAGAAATTATATTACATATTAGAACATATATTCACAAAGAACATAGAGCAAAAATATCATTAAGTCCTTATTTTGGACACAAAAATGAAATGGGCTTTCCTATTTTCATTAGGCTGATCCCTTTATTTAAAGGAAGAATCTATAACTATAGAGAACAAATTGATCATTATGAAGGGAGGTGGGTGGGAAGATGGATGAAATAGGTCAAAAGGACTAAAAGTACACTTATAGTCACGAGCACTGAGTAATGTGTAGAATTGTTCAATCACTACATTGTACACCTGAAACTAATATAATACCGTATGTTAACTACACTGGAATTAAAATAAAAATAAATAAGTAAAGGAAAGAGTATGAAAGTCTCTGCCTGACACTCAAAATCTGCCACTCTCTAGTCTGAATCTAGTTTGCCAATTTTGATTCTCATTTTTCTCCAAGAAAACACCTACTTCAGTCACAGTGGTTAATTATCTCCCAAACTCATCAAGCTCATAATAATTTCAGGTTCCCTCATCCAGAATGTGTTTTCTTTACTCTGTTTATGTTAATCTTACCCGTTCTTAAAGGCCCAGTTTGGGGGAGCCTGGGTGGCTTAGTGGTTAAGCATCTGCCTTCAGCTCAGGTCATGATGCTAGGGTCCTGGGATCGAGCCCCTTCATTGAGCCCCTTCATCAGGTTTCCCTGTTCAGCGGGAAGCCTGCTTCTCCCTCTCCCACTCCCCCTCTGCTTGTATTCCCTCTCTCACTGTCTCTCTCTGTATCAAATAAATAAATAGAATCTTCAAAAAAAAAAAAGAAAAAGAAAAAGAAAAGAAAAAAAGGCCCAGCTTGTTTTACTGCCTTCTATTCTTCCCCAGATTATTTCAACCCATTATGTTCTCTCTTCCTTCCAACTCTCTTGGCTCTTACTGTTCTAACATGGAAAAACTTGCTGGATTTTTACTGTTGTTTACCTATTTAGAAATCTTTTGAACTGTGAAATATAATGCATACACAGAAAAGTGCATGAAACAAAAGTGAAAAAAGCTCAATGATTAATGTCTCGGTAAATATACATGAAACTTTCCCCAAGTACAGAAACAGAAAACTGTTAGTACCCAGAGAGCCCCCTCATGTTCTTTTCTAGTTACTAATACCCTCCTCTTATCTTCCCCCCTACAAAACGGTAACCACTATGTTAACAACTATGGTAATCCCTTTCTTGCTTTTCTTTGTAGTTTCAATCATCTAAATATGTAACCCCAAACACTACAGTTTAGTTTTCTTGAATTTTATATACATGGAATCATATAGTATGTCTTTTCTGTCTGGCTTCTGTTACTGAATATTACATGAGAATCATACATGTTTTATAACAATGTTCATTTTCATTCTGTATAGAAAAGATTTTTATATTCATTTAGATAAATGGACAACTCATTTTTATCCATTCCACAGATGATGGATCTTTGGGTTACTTAACTTTTAGAAAGTATGTATGTTTTGTCTCCCCAGCTGGAATCCAAGTTTCATGAGGGCAGGGGCCATACAAAGTATCTTATAGTATTTTATATTTACTTTAGTATTGCATAATGCTAAGCACACCATGGGTGCCCCCAATCACACTAAATAATGATTAAATAAATCTATGAGTAGTTTAGGAGGTGAGAAGAAAATAATTAGTGCTGGAAATCAATGTTTTTTAAAAAGATTTTACTTATTGGGGCGCCTGGGTGGCTCAGTGGGTTAGAGCCTCTGCCTTCAGCTCAGGTCATGATCCCAGGGTCCCGGGATCGAGCCCCGCATCGGGCTCTCTGCTCAGCAGGGAGCCTGCTTCCTCCTCTCTCTCTCTGCCTGCCTCTCTGCCTACCTGCGATCTCTACCTGTCAAATAAATAAATAAAATCTTTAAAAAAAAAAAAAAAAGATTTTACTTATTTATTTGAAAGTGAGTGAGAAAGAGAGAGAGGAGAGAATGAGTGGGGGGAGGGGCAGAGGGAGAAGCACACTTCCTGCTGAGCAGGGGGCCCAACACAAGGTGTGATCCTAAGACCTGGGATCATGACTTGAGCCAAACACAGAGGCTTAACTGACTGAGCCACCCAATAGAGCCCCACCAATTAATATTTTTAGAGAGAGTTATATAACCGGCATTTTGGAATAGCACTACTGCCTTAATAAATCAGAAGGTTTGACCTCTCCTATTTATTTATACCTAAGAATTTATCATTTCTTGATCTTCCTGAGCCAACTGAAAGCTAAAAATGTAATTTATTAACTATTTTAAAAAATAAAGTTAGAACTCAAAAGGTAATTATTCAAAAGGCTAATTCTCTATTCATCTTTGTACAGTCTCACCTAGTACAAACTCACCAGAGTTTCTTTATTTCTTGTTCTATTTCCTTGTATTTATATTAACTATTATAAATTTAAAAGCACACGAAGAGAAGTCCAAAGTTAGAATCTCCACAAAACAGAAGCAAAAATTCTAGTATCTAAGGTTAGCAGGAAATTAATCATTCCTATTCATAAGTAAAACAAACCAAATAGCTTTTTAGTTCTAATACGCTCTTCTACAGTCAGCAAACGCATCCTAGGTACTGTGTAAACATCTCAAAACAGTATTTATGCCGCCTATTCTTCAGACCTACTCTGATAGTCTCCTGGAGAGTCAGTTTTGCATTTTCATTTGCTTAATTTTCATAAAACTAGAGCTTCATCAACTTTCTCAGCAAACAGGAAAGTACACTTGCGGGCAAGATTTTCTGATATATCTGTCTTGGCAAGTACATATGTGCATGTCTCTAATATTAGTTTTAACAATACACAGGCTATAAGAAGTCTTGTAAGTTTTGTTCCAGTCTGTAATTTGACGTGATTAAAAAATAGAGAAGGGAAACGTGCTATAGAGAATGTAAAGTCTAAGAAACAAGAATAATCCCAAATTGAGGAATCAATGCAGAAAAGAACAGATGGTACTAGATGTTTGTAGCCAATTCATTACTAGCTAAGGATAGTTATTAAAGACAAATTTAGTCTTTTTTAATGTAAAGTAACATTTTAATTTGTTAAGTTTTCAAAATGAAGGCCAATAATATATGTGCCTTTATTATCATTATTATTATATTACTAAAAGCTTTCTTGGAAAAGAAATGGTTGTTTAAAATATTAAGTTAAATTTCTTCATGAGGGAAGAAAGTGAAACACAATAAAAAGTTAAATTACAAATGAAGGTTAATGTATTACAGTAGAAGAACCAGCAAATATGTGGTTATACTCTTAAGACCTGCTTTTTCAAGACTAATTCTATTATGAAGTGTTCTATTAACAAGGGACAACTTAGAAAGAGAAATCTGCAATTAATTTAAAAACATTTTCTGAAATTAAAATATTTATCAGTTGTTGATACTTAATTTCTAAAGATCCACAGAATAGAATTTTTAAAAAGTTATTTCTACTGCATTGCAAGTTGAAACCTATTCACTGTTTATTTTTATAAAACAGCTAATCATACACGTTTCTTGTCTTGTCATTTAAAAGATTTTCCTCCTCACAGTTCAAGACAATTTCAATGTGTGGGCCCTCTTAGTTTAATAGGAGGCTATTTCACCATCAATGTCATTTGGGAAACTACAAGTACAAAAATTTTACATGTGTTCTACTCTCTCCTATCTTCTAAAATTTTGGAGGAATTTTGTAATTAAATTACCCTTTAAGTAATTATACTTCCGGATTTTACCCTCCAAATATTAGCTATCCTCCCAAACTCCCCCACCCACCTGATGGCTAGAGCACAATTCTAAGGCCAACTTAGCATTAATGAAAATATTCTGTCATATTACTTCTTAAAAACATTCCAATATTCAAGAGTCTTTGGGAGAGACTAGTAAACCCAACTGTGTTACCTCTTTATCTTTTAGTCCCAGGAGCAATACTTCTTCCATAAGTGTGAGGCGAATATCCTTAGAGTCACCAGAATCTTCATTGTCTGGACTCCTGTCTTGATTAGTGTCTTCCTCACTTTCCACCTTCTTTTCAGAGTTCTTGCCTACTTCAGTGCGACGGGCCCGGTGAGTTAAAGTGGTCATTCTCAGCTGTTTCTGGAGAGGGTGATGAAAAAATATCTATAAGTAAGCTTATGTAAACAGAACATATTGATATTCATACAGACCTACTACAAATGTATACAAATAAGAAATATATATAAACTTAAATAGAGAAAGGAGTAAAGACCAGAAAAATTAGGCGGGTAACACAATATGTTTTCCAAAGTACAATAGCTTGAAGGTACACAGAAGGCATTGACAGAAAATCAAATCAGTAATATTAAAGACCGGTACAAATGATTGCTCAATCTTTCTTTGCTTCTTTCTTTCTTTCTCTCTCTCTTTTTCTTTCTTTCTTTCTTCCTAGAAAGGATCATCTTTTAACCCTGCTGATTATTATTATTATGTGCATAATCTATAATCCAGGAGTATATACACATCATTGTAACTTGTCTTTCATAAAATGGATTCTCCCCAAGTTAAATAATATGGGACAGCAAAAAATTGTGAGAATCCAGGCCCCAAAATCCATGTAATAATCTACATGTAACTTCTATAAACATTTAATGGCACATCATAAAATACAAAAAACAGAGAAATTAAAAAAATAAGAAAAACTAAATATATATATTCTCATATTTTCTTCCCATAACTCATCTCATGCACTCCCTTTGGGAACTGCATCTACAGAATAACACTCAGAAGATCATGTGTAGTAATTCCATATACACAGAAAACTTTCATCTCTATCCCTAGCTAGCCATCTTGCAAATACTCAAATAGCTGCCGACAAAAAGCATCAGCAAGAGAATGTTAAAAGATTAATGATCTCTTTCTCAATTGCAAAAAAAAGTCAAAGCACATGCCCTCTTATACCATGTACTACAGATGTTTTTAAAAAAATCTAGTCAAGAGAAATGGCACTAAATCATGTATGATATAAAGTTAGCACACTTTATTTTAAAATAAATCTGAATGTCAGTTTTTGAAATGACACACAAATATTTTTAATCAGTAATTATTTAAAAGAATATCTTATTCATGTTCAAAAGAATGCATTCAAAAGCCTCTGTGACTGGATCCCGTTCTAGCGATATTTCCCATTACATTACTCTCAGTTACATATTGTTAACAACCACTTCTCAAACAGGTCCCATGCTGCCATTTCTGCTCCTTTGTCCATGTTGGTGCTCTCTCCCCTTTCCTTTCTCTTTATATTCTACCCATTTTTCAAAGGCCTATTGAGGATCCAGGTAAAGCCTTAAGTGAATACCCTTCTCCATTACCCTTATGTCCCATGGCCAGAATTGGTCTCTCTCTCAGCTATACTTCCACAGAACTTTATTTATACTTACATCCTTTAAAGTATTTATTATAGTCTTTCTTTTGGTATGGCTGTCTCTCAACTGTAAACTTCTTGAGGGCAGGGATATTGTCTTCTTGGGTTTTTATAGTCTCCATAGCAACTAGCACAATGTCTTTAACGTTGTAACTGCTCAATAAATATATACTGATTAAAATGAATACTCAGAAATGCATGTGAACATTTTTAAATAGAAATACAAGTAAAGTGACTTACAAATGATTCTTTGTACAAGGCTATATTTCAAATACAATTCTTGGTGGGAGGTGGGAAGTGGGAAGAAGGGTGAAGGAGGAAAAAACCCCTGTGATATATATGCTTAAGGGCATTAACCCTATCTGGCACTGTGAACAGGGTTTATTTGCTAACCCAATCCAAGAAACTTTAAGTCTTCAGAGAAAAAAAGGGAGGGGGGGGGACTTTGAGGAACTAATACCCCCTGGGCATTTATTAGTTAAAAATCCTATTTGGGGAAAAAAAAAATGACCAAAAACTAACTGAATAAGAACCTCCCTCTCCCCATAAAATAAAAAATCTGTAGGCTTTTTTTGTACATTAGGAAATGTATATTCTCCGTTGCTTACCTGACGTTACTCCTGGGTTACAGCCGGACACAAACAGCAGCCTGCGCTCTATTTTAGGGGTACACCTGTTCCCCCAGGTCCTAGTAGGTAAAAAAAACTTCTCAGCCACGCAGAGATTACAAACTTCCTGATCCTTCGATGCAGAGAAGGAATAACACATCAGCTTCCTCAGGATCCCTAGGCAACCTACCTTGGTGTTTCTTCATTGGACCAATCAGAAACCGCCAAGGTTGAGTCCAGCCAATCGGAGCTTACAAGGGGAGGCTCTCCTCGGGCTATTGTGTTGCGATCCCGACAAACACCACCAAAAGGAGGCAGGTTTGGGTCAACCTGACAGCTGGTCAATCCAATGAAGTAACCTTCGTAGAAGAGAGGAAAGGGAGCTGCGCTCCCCACCCCCATTAAACTGGCCAATCAAAGCGTTCAGTGAGCTAGCGCAAGCTGCTGTTCTACAAAGGTTTTTGTTGGTCAGTCTCTGTAGCAGGTGTGTTAACTGTACCAGCGTATACTAGGACAATTAGGTGAGATGTGCTAGGATCCAAGAAAGCTAAGGACAAATAAACATTTTAAAATTGGTTGTTTTCGAAAATTAGCTTGTCCTCAACTTTCCTGTTCCAGAAAAACCTGATCTGGGTCAGTCTGTGGACGTTTATTTGGTTTACATTAAACAGGTTAGGTACATTTCTACCATTACATATACACCAACTTTCTCTATTAGCGCTTCTCAACGGCAAACCTATGGATAATCTATGTTTTATAATGCGGCTGCTAAACTGCAAGAAGCAAACAGACCAAGTTTTAAGTCTTTCTTTTTTACGGCAAAGGAAATGATCAAAGCTGAAACCAGGTCTCAGGTTTCTCCCTAAACGCACAGTATCTTTCACACTACCACTCAAAGGTTCTGGGAAGTGTGCTCAACTCTTGTAAAGTATTATTTACCAAAATGATCTCAAAATTAGTACCCAAACATTTTCTGCTAATTAAATAAAAATTAGAAGCCATGAAAGAGTCTAGATGCTGAAGAATATTTTATTTATGCTGCCCAAAATGCCAGACCTTAAAAATCAGTCCTCATTTTGCCTTGAAGTAAAAAAAAAAAAAAAAAAAAAAAAAGATAAAAAAGATAACCAATTTTTAATGGTATGTTATATATTACCATGTTAGTACACTCTATCAAAGCACCAAAGCACATTGTTTTAATGACACAGGGACAAATAACCAGTTAAGTGTTACAGTTTTACCATAAGTAAAAAGTAAATTCCTACCAAAATTTAATAACAAAATGAACATTATTTGTTTTTAAAATTGGCTCTAGAGTACCTTAAAGGTTAATATATGTTTAAAGGAAGTATCTACCAAAATGGAAGATAGATCAATATTGAGTAGATAATGAGCAAATCAGTTATGACACTGGTACTTTTGGTTTTATCCAAAAGTTCTCTTGCATTGTCTCAGATAAGATTAAGGATCACAATATGACAGCTAAAAATTTGTTTTTGTACTAACTGCTTAACACAATGTATAAATTTTCACATGGCAAACACACGTTAAAATAGTAATACATTGTCCAGTAGTTGAAATGTTGAGAACTTCACAAACATGCAGAAGAAAAAATTAATTTTTATATATGCTCCTTTGGTTCACTAAACTTTCTTCTTTTTGGCACTGACTCTTGACTAGAAGAATCAAAGTGATGAAGGACCTGTCAAAAGAAAAAAACTACTAAGGATACTTTTCAGCTTACATGTCTTTACTTTCAGATTTTTTTCATGTCTCTGAGGTTTGTTTGTTCCATCCTTCCCTTTCTTTTTAAAATTATATATGGTATGACTATTTCCTACTAAGATAGAATACCTGCGTTCTTTAAAAAGTAGGGTAAATTTTATTACTGATGTGTCTTCTGATGGCTGCTGTAAGTATATACTTATAAAGTGTAAGGTCTTTATCCAGGTTGTTGGAGAAGTCAAAAACATAGATCTAACACTATGTCCTCAAAATAGTAAAATATTATGGGGCGATAAGAAGGAAAAAAGATTTTAAAATGAGCTACAGATAATGAAACATTGTACCTTGGCACCATGTAAGATTTAAATCACATATTATTCTTTTCGTAACCCTGGTACTTAGCAGTGTCTGACTTAAACTTCCTTAAAGTATTCTTTTTTTTTTAAAGACTTTATTTATTTGACAGACAGAGATCACAAGTAGGCAGAGAGGCAGGCAGAGAGAGAGAGAGGAGGAAGCTGGCAGGGACTCGAGCAGGGACTCGATCCCAGAATCCTGAGATCATGACCTGAGCCGAAGGCAGAGGCTTAACCCACTGAACCACCCAGGCGCCCCATTTTTTTTCTTTTTTTAAGATCTTATTAAATTAATAAGATTAATTAATTAGAGAGGTACAGTGACAGAGGGAACACAAGCAGGGGGAGTGGGAGAAGGAGAAGCAGATTCCCCTGCCCAGCAGGGAGCCCAATGTGGGACTCAATCACAGGACCCTGGGATCATGACCTGAGCTGAAGGCAGATGCTTGACGACCGAGCCACCCAGGTGTGCCCCTAATAGTATTCCTGAGTAACTCAACTTTGATTTTTCTGGAAAAAAAAACTCACTAATGATACAAATTGGATGATTTTGCTAAAAAAAAAAAAATCAAAGCTTAATACACTGGGAAGACAATAAATTATTGAAGTGTCAGGTTATTTCATTCCCTTTTTGAGTTATGTAAATTGAAAAAAATATTAACTATATTTTTGAGAATATTCCTTTAACGTTTGATTTTTTTTTAAAGCAGTCTTATTCAGTTGCCTAAATGTTAACCTACTAATTATACTAAAAATTCTAGTTGAAAAATATAAATATTTGGGGCACCAGGTGGCTCAGTCATTAGGCATCTGCCTTAGGCTCCAGTCATGATCCCAGGGTCCTAGGATTGAGCCCTGCATCGGGCTCCCTCCTAGGCAGGAAGCCTGATTCTCCCTCTTTCACTCCCTCTGCTTGTGTTCCCTCTCTCGTTGTCTCTCTCTCAGTCAAATAAATAAATAAAATCTTAAAAAAAAAAGAAAAATATAAATATTTATCTCAGAAATGACAAATACAAGATCTGATTTGGTAAAATAAGGTCCCAAATATGAAACAACTGTTAAAAAAATGTAGGTCAAGAAAATTTTTCTTTCGGGGTGCCTGGGTGGCTCAGTGGGTTAAAGCCTCTGCCTTTGGCTCAGATCGTGATCCCAGGGTCCTAGGATAGAGCCCAGATTGGGCTCTCTGCTCTGCAGGGAGCCTGCTTCCCCCTTCTCTCTGCCTGCTTGTGATCTCTGTCTGTCAAATAAACAAAAAATCTTAAAAAAGAAAAAAAGATTAAAAAAATTTTTAAAAAAGAAAATTTTTCTTTCTCTTCCTAAGGTACTAAGAGAAGATGCTATTTTTTATGGAACAAGTTGATTTGGTAACTTATTTATACTTCACTTTTGTTCTCTCAGAAGCTGAGATCAAATTTGTGGCCCAATTTTAGCTCTATGTAAATAAAATGGCTTAAATGGTCTTATACTCTCATTTTCTCATTCTATTCATATTTTTCTGGACATACTGATTTTAATTTTTTTTATAAATTCCTCCAACTTCTTCAAATCATTCATAGATCAGTAAATATTTACATAGAAAAAACTAATAAACCTCACACATCTTATTTTAAAATCACCTCATTTTTTAGAAACAATTACATATAAACAAGATTTGGATATCAGTACTTTGAGGTAATATCCAGGGATATTATCACATTTATCATTTAAAATTTAATCTAGGGGTACTTGGGTGGCTCAGTCCATTAAGCATTCCAACTCTTGACTTTGGCTCATGTCAGAGCTCAAGGTTGTGAAATTGAGTCAGGCTCTGTGCTGGGAATGGAGCCTGCTTTAGATTTTTTTCTCTCTCTCTTCTCATCCCTCTCCCTCTCTAAAAAATACATTAAAAATAAATAAATAAATAAATAAATAAATAAATAAAATTTAATCTATAGTAATTATGGTCTGATACTTGCCATTTTATTCAACCTGTATATTATCATAAGACTTACTGTTCTTCCAGGTTCAAGTTGACTTCTCTTCCGATTTTCTTTAGAAGATTTTACTGGTTGATTTCCATTAGCCTCCATAAAGATGGAATAATTACTAATTGGTTATTTCTCAAAGAACAACCAACACTTGATTTTTTTAAACTACAGGCAACTATATGCAGTTTTTAAAAAAGGTTTTCCTAAGATATAATTCAGATGCCATACAATTCATTTATTTAAAAGTTTACAGTTCAATAATTTTAAGTATCAGAGTTGTGCAACCATCATTGTAGCCCATTTTAGAACACTTTCATCGCTCCAAAAAGAAACCTGAGGCTGGTTGATTTGTTTCTTCCTTCATTCTCTTCTTTCTTTTTAAAATTATACCTAGTGTAATTATTTCCTACTAAAATAAGATACCTGGGTTCTTTGAATTTATTACTTCCTGATTCCCTCCTTCTCCCACTAGCTCTAAGACTTTCTCTCTCTCTATAGAAATCCCTATTCTGGACTTTCAGATAAGTAGGATCATATAATATGTAGACTTTTGTGACTGATTTCTTTCATTTAGCATGTTTTCAAGGTTTATCCCTGTTGAAGCATACATTAGTACTTCATTCCTTTTGTGGCTGAATAATATTCCATGGTATAAATATACTACATTTGTTTATCCATTTGTTTATTGATGGATATTTAGGTTTCTTCCACCTTTTGGCTATTGTTAATAATGCTATCTATGCAATTTTAAAAGTGAATATTGGATGATGACACATTATTAGCTGTCTATTACTATTCTCTAAAAGGACATGCTTATTTTTTGATGTCGAAAATATACTTTTGAATAACTTTCTTAGTGTACATACTATTAAATATTTTCACTTCTTGCCACTTCCTAACAATCATTCAGCCATGATTCTCAAAATCAGGAGTACTGTGGCAGAGAGTTCATATCCAAAAACATAAGCAATTTCAGAAATTAGTTTACGTCCCCAAAGTATCTTAATGTCTTATTACAAGAAAATCCTTCCTAATAATTTTTTTTTAATTCTTGCTTTTCTCCCCATATCCTAGTAAAGGATACTCATCCTAAATAGAAGCTGCCTACAAGGCCATTTTGCTGCTAGCTGTACTAATTTTTGAAATTCTTTTA